CAGCATTGGATTTTAAAGGTCAAGTTGTCTCTACAGAGAAAGTCTCCATTTAAAAATTTGAGAAACAGCAGAATGAGTGAAGAAACATTTGATTTTCAGTTAAGTCCTCATTTATGCCACCACAGTGATACATATAAATATCTAATTCGTTACTCATCAGTTTGGTAATAATAATTTTATTAAAATTCATTCATTATTATCACTAGTGTCACTGACGACGACCTAAATGAAGGGCAAATATTTTTCTGTTGAATTTTCTTCTGAGAGTTTTTCCTAACAAAGCACTTTGGTCTTCTTTTTTGGTAGCATCAAAAACAGAGTTATGTACAACATACTTAATCGGGTCACTGATACACTGGTAAGTTGTACTAAGGAATGCCAAACACGATGTGTGGTTTTGAACATCCTACAACCGTAAGACCTAAAAGATTCACAAAGATGATAGGATCTATTGAAAATATATGATATTCAAATATTGGTTTGTAGGGATTTAATTGATTGGTTACAAGATTTCATCATGAGCTAACTGGCCCTGTTCAGACAAGTAGTTTTCTGGGGTTCTAGAGAGAAGTCGTGACCAGTAGGATACAGCAGGTTGTGAATGAAGACAAATACTCGCCAGCGATAACATTTGCTAGTGGTCGCACTGTGTCGTGAATTGGCTTGAGTTGGAATTCATTCACTGGCCATTGGATCAGGTCCCAGTGGCTTGATGGTCTACGAGCTCAACTTGTAACTGGTAGGTCCTGGGTTCAAACCGTGGTGGGTGCGTACTGATGAAGAGTCCCAAACTAGTCTGACGAAACGGCTGTCCAGTACTCCCTGCAGGTTTTCCAATGGTTCTCTGACTGATGTCAGCTTATGATGAAATCCTATGCCAAAAAATATGTAAATTATTTATAGTTCCGATAAGGCCTAATGAGTAAAATATCAATTTGACCGATACTTTGTAAGATTTAAATTGAGTAGAGTTATCTGTTACGTCACTGACAGACATAAAATGCAGTGATAGCCAGTGAACTAAAACAGACTCCTTGATAAAACTTCCGCTTCTATGCGTTACTACTTTAAGTAGTATAAATACAACATGAAATCTATTTTCGAAACTACAATTTCAAAAGTCTAGAAGTAAATCAGATACTTCCTAATAGCCTTACCAATTTCGTGCAATATTATAAGTAAATCTATGCAATGCTTTTCATTTTTTTAAAGTATTTTGTGAAGCCTCTATACCATAAAATATTCGATAATAGCCTGACTTAACTAAAAACCACCTACAGTTCATTTATATCGAATAAATGGATTAATTTAGCCTGCAGCATTTTCATTAGAATATATGTATGTACAAGTTTAAATTGAAAGTGAATGACGTCAGATGCAGTCCACCTGAGGATTCCTATTTTTCTGATCTTTTTCACCATAAGTATTGATTAAAAAACAGTACGAGTAGTTTCAGCTTATTATAATTATTGTCTGCGACATCTAATTTTACTTTTCAAAATCAAATGACTTTCATGCATTATTAACACTGTGAAAAGAATTAATTTCGAAATTGTATTTACAACATCAGCTAAAATATGGAACAACATAGTTGACCAAGAGGTAATTCTAGACTTAGAAAACAAACGTCTTGACAACACCTGACCATGGGAAATGTTAAGTTCATTCAGTTCCATCTCTTTTTACATTCTGACCGAGAAGATAGAAAGTTACAAAGGAATATATTCGCTAGGTGGACACATTAGAACCAAACTAACGCTGCTAATTGGTCAGTAGGTTTCAGCAGGCGCTAAAAGTTTCAAACGGCAAGTATATCACAAACTGTTATATCTTATGTACAAAATAGACTTAACATCCATTCAAAGAAACACAGAGTCTTGGCTGTATTTCTCATGTTTGTTTGCACAAGGCAATTACTATCAGATTCGAATATGTATGAAAAGTTGATCTTCAAGCATGTTGTTGTGTCTTTGACGATAGTACCGATGATCTGTGCGCTAGATACTGAAATGCAATAGACAACTCGACTGAAGACCAGAAACTTACTACTAATCAATCCAGCTCCCTTAGTGCGGAAAAATGAAGACAACAGACAGACTTGTCCGTGCCAGAGAGAACAATTCAACTTAATAAACAAAAATATATTATATATAAATACTATAAACCTCAGAAATTTAAGCCGTCAAATAAAAAATTGTATTGGTTGCCTAAGGTCAGGCTTCTGAGTTGTCCATCTGCATCCTATTTC